CCAAATTGATCAAACAATTCCGCGGAATTTTGAATGGAATTCAAATTCCACCGGAATGATTCCGGTGATCACCCGGAAGGAATGCTCACAGAACGAGACCGGAACGGAATTCCTGATGCCCAAATCAACAAACAACGCCATCTCTTTCCACCACCACCACCATCACTGACGCCTACACACCACGTCGCCAATGTCCACCACCACGCACACCAGCCACGATGAGACAACGACGACGGCCACGATATGGGAGACGACGCCTTGACGCCACATGAACAACCCCAGTAAACAAGTGCGGCAACACGTTGCCACGTCGCTATCAGCGACATGGCAACCAGACGACGAACGACGATTTCGTCATTCGTCGTCCTAAGTGAGCACCCCCCCCAAACTCGTCCCAACCCAGCTCGCTAACACCATGCCCACGACGAGGGACAGACAGCACGCCAACACACGACCACCACGACCATGCCCATGGACGACCCGCCACACCACATCAACGGACTGCCACCACGTCAACGGACGACACCCACATCAACGGACGACGACGACCACGTCAGCGGACGACGACGCCCACGTCAACGGACGACGAGCACATCAGCAGAGGAGGACGACACCCACATCAACAGACGATGACAACGACGTCAGCGGACGACGACAACAACCACGCCAGCGGACAACGATGACGACCACGTCAGCGGACGACGACGACGACCATGTCAGCGGACGACGACACCCACGTCAGTGGACGACGAGCACATCAGCGGACGACAACGACCCACCCTCTTCCCTGTCCCTCCTTTCCCTCCTCCCCTCCCTTTCCATCCCCCCTTCCTTGTGCCTATCTTTATCCATCTCCCCTCCCCTTTCTCTCCCCCTCCCTTTTCTCTCCCCCTCCCTTTTCTCTCCCCCTCCCTTTTCTCTCCCCCTCCCTTTTCTCTCCCCCTTCCTTGTCCATCCCCCCTTCCCTTTCTCTGTCCCTTCCCCCTTCCTTGTGTGTGCCTCTCTTGCCTATCTTCTTACTCCCCCTTCCATCCTCCCCCCTTCCCTGTGCCTCCCCCTTCCTTTAGTATACACTGTAGTAAAATGTATTTTATGTTATAATTGAAATACATTAAAATTTGATTTCTATTTAAATTTGACTTCTGAATTTTGAAAGAATATGAAGCTATCAGTATAAGGTGACTTCAGAATGTAATGGAATAGATTTATGTAGCTCTACTGAATATACTACAATATGTGAACAATTGAATGCATGGCTGGGTGGATTTGAGCTTCTCAAACACATGAAACCTGGAAATTTCAACTGGTTTTTACATGTAATGTTGTTTTATCACACAAAACATGTCCTCACTCAACAGAAACACAAAGCAAAGTCTCAGGAGATTAAAAGTGATGATGAAGACTTGGGTTTGGATGAACAACATGCAGAATCTAATGTCTCTGAATCTGATTGAAATAAATAAGTCCATGCATTAGTAAGTAACTAGTTGTATGCCTTATGCCCTTGTTTAGTCAAAGATTTAGTGCTACAATTCTATTTGTCTGACCTAAAGAAGGAGATTCAGGGTCCAAAATTAATTAACCAGAAGTTCTAGTGTTCAATTCCTGTTGATTCCAGTTGGATTCATGTCGATTCCGGCCGGAATTCCAGGAATTCCAGGAATCCTACCAGAATTTCAGGAATCCTACCGGAATTCCAGGAATCCGGCCGGAATCCAGGGAATCTGCGGATTCCGGTAGGAATCAGTGGAGGAATGGAAAGTATTGAGATTTACATTACTACATTGACTATTAAAGAAATATAGAGAAGGGGAGTGAGGGAGAGGGGGTGGGGGTTGGTGGGCAATAAGGGAGGGGGAAAGGGGCTATAGGCAATGAAGGAGGGGATGGCAGGCAATGAGAGAGAGGGGGAGTGAGTGCTGGGAAGTGAGGGAGAGGGGGAGGGGATGGTGTGCAGTGAGGGAGAGGGGAGGGGGTGGTGTGCAGTGAGGGAGAGGGGAGGGGGTGGTGTGCAGTGAGGGAGAGGGCTAGGGAGTGAGGGAGAGGGAGAGGGACTGAGGTAATGGGGGAAGTGAATGAATGGGGGAGGGAGTGAGGGAATGGGGAAGGCAGTGAGGGAATGGGGAAGGCAGTGAGGGAATGGGGAAGGCAGTGAGGGAATGGGGAAGGCAGTGAGGGAATGGGGAAGGCAGTGAGGGAATGGGGGAGGGAGGAAGGGAGTGGGGGAGGGATGGAGGGAATGGGGAATGGGGGAATGAATGGGGGAGTGGAGGAATGGGGGAGGGGGAGGAAATGGGGGAGGGAATGATGGAATGGGATGGCAGTGAGGGATAGGCAATGATTGAGCCCCCGTCGCCGTTTGTAGGTGGCGTTGGTGGTCGCTCATCTTCGTTCGTGGGATGGGCACCCAGCGTGTCTTCATGGTGGTGGGCGCTCAGTGTGTCTTCATCATCGTCCGTCCGTTGTTTGTTGACCATCATTGCACGCAGGTTTGTTGACCATCATTGCACGCAGTGGGTGATGTGGGATGTGCGAGCCGTTGACTGCCCACTGGTGGAGTGGGCGGTTGCCACCATTGGGCGGTCGACAGTGGTGGGCCTGTGTTAGTAACGTGGGTGGTGATAGAGACGGTCGGGTGCTTACCGTATTGAATAGAAAACGACGACGACGACCTTGTCGTCATCGTCCCTTGTCTTCCCTCGTATCCAATATAAAATGATGACGACGGCGGCAGTTACGCCGTCGGTTACGTCGTCGTCGTCGTCCCTCGTCCATCTGCGTCAGATACTTGCCACGTCGCTCGTGGGGTCGTTCATAGGTCTGGGGCCATGGGGGTGTGCCGCTCGTCGGTTTTCGTGGGCGCTGGTCGTCGATTGGCGTGGGCGCTGGTCATCGTTTGCCCGTCGTTGTTTCCGTTGCTTGTTGTGTCGTTGTTGTTAGGTGTCGTCGTTTTGGGGCATTGGTCGTCATTTGCCAGTTGTCGTCGTTTGCTGGTTGTTCTCGTTGCGGGTGGGGCAGTCGTTGCCATTTGTGGGCAGCCGGGGTCGTTTGTCGTGGGGGTCGTGAGGTGGAAGTCGTGTGGTTGACGTTGTAGTAGTAGTAACATCACTGTCACAGCGTGTGACGTTCGCGTCAGCGTCTGACTTTCAGAAGAGAATGGCAATGTACTGAATGTCGGAGACCATTTCCATCGAGGATAGCTCATTAATTAGTTACCTTAAATTAAATCTCTTTAGATGTAGATGGATGTCTTTTTGTAACATTTGATAGAATAACTCAA